TGGCGGACGCATCACAGATGAAGTGGCGGCGGTCATACAGAAGGCTCGATTGGCATTTGCCAATTTGAGGCATCCGTGTCGCCGTCGCGACATTCGGTTGTCTGTGAAGAGTCGACTATGCTACAGCAGTTCGGCCATTTCTGCTTCAGGGCGCAGAGACTTGGCCATTGCGGGAATGGGATAAAAATGGACTGTCGGTGTTCGAACACCGCTGTTTACGTAGCATTGCACGAATGTGGTGGAGAAACCGGACGAGCAATGCTGACGTTAGGCATGGAGTTTTAGGTAAACGCGGTCGTCCACTGGAACAGGTATTCGACCTCCATAGATTACGCTGGTTGGGACGTGTGCTACTCATGTCACCAGATAGGTTGCCATGGCGAGCGATACTTGGCGGGGCAGGTAGCAGTTGAAAAAAATGATGGACGGTCAAACTAAGAGCTGGCATGAGGGTATGAAAACCCTGACCAGGAGACTGGCTCACATAGGTGCCGGTGGTTAGAGACATTGAGCAAGATGGCTGGTTATCGCAGTGGCGCTCATGCATCTACTCATTCTTGTAACTTGAGTCTATGAAAATATGCTATCTTCCGCTTCAATCTGCTCTCAACATTCTAATAATCGTTCTGCTGTTTTAGCGAAATGGGCAACCAAAATCGGCGCACGAAAGTGCATGGTTAACGGTTGTAAGAACTGAACTGAACTGACTTACTGGTTGAAATATCTTTTACGGTACACAATTAGTTGGTGAATCAAATTTTGAGTTCTATGTAGAATGTAATACACAGCTTTGGTTTCAGTGTTCTACTTCTGAAGGAATCGCAATTGTTTACAACTAACGATATTCCTTCAGGACGGGCTTGAAAATCTTCAACAGGCCTAATTAATTGCCGCAGAGATTGAAATTATTCTGACAGCTTTCCACATTTGACCTCCGAGTTTCCTGCTCTGACTTTCAGATAATGATTCGCACATGTCGTTCTCTTTCTTTATCATCGCGGTTGCACACAGTCGCATGGAATCACCTTGTGCCTAAGAATGAAGCCTATGTTGCGGGAAAGTGGACTGCAGCTGCTTCCGGCAAAACCTTCCCCGGTAAGTTCCCACTTACGGCACTGCGTGTTATCTTCATTAAACTTCATTTAGTCGCTCTTAATAACAACAGCGGTTAAATTGAATGAATGTCTTATTACACACGAAGTGATTTAGAGCAAAAGGGGTAAACCCCATAATCAATGATATACTGTAAGGGGAGGTATGTCGGGGAACATTCAAGTAAGAACCAATTTGTTAGTCCTGCGTTTGAAAAGGGTAAGGTTATAAGTGCTGAAAAACACTGAAATGGGAAGAGTGTTCCACAATTTCGCAGTCCCCAGGAAAAAAGATTGAAAGATAGAAGTCCGACATTTGGAAACAGAATCCTCATAAGAGTGACTGGTCGCCTGCGAGTGAGATGGACGAGAGAAGGTCAATGGAAGGGGAACCGCTGGAGCGAGTTCGGAAGAGCAGAAACCAAAATAGTAACGATAGAAACGAGATAACGAAACAACTGCCTGGCGATGAGAAAGCGACTGCAAGGCGGAAGTTAAGGACGGTTCGTCGATCAACCTGATGACCTTACGTTAAACACGGTCAAGGAGAGAAAGAGCGGAATACGAAGCTCCACCCCATACGTGACTGGAGTATTCAAGCATCGGGCGGATTTGAGCTTTGTATAAAAGAAGGTGCTTGGATATAAAGAAACGCCTTGCGCGGAATAGAAAATCAACTTCGCAAGCAGCGCGAGAGGCAAGTGTAGAGATAAAGGGGGCCAACAGAAAGAAGAATTTATGGATAAACGCAGGAGGAAGAGAAAATTTGTGGAACGAAGGAGCAGAGAAGCAAAAGTCAATTGAGTAGAAAACAAGACATGTTTAAGAGAGACTGAGGGGAGAGAAGTTTTGGAAGCATTGAAACACATGTGGTTGGTAGAACTCCATGCGGAGATTAGTCCGAGATCGGAAGCAAGGGATGCACTCATCATCGTACAGCGAGATACTGTAAAGCGAGCTTCACTGATCGCTGTCAAGCTCACAATATACACAAATCAAGTGATAAAGCACAAGATGGTGAGGGATTGGGCCTACTTGGAGGGAGGCAAAGAAAAATGACCACACAATCTAAGTGTTCATGCATACCATTTTCAAGCGTTTTCCTTGTTAAGAAATGACAACAAGAGCGCCACTGCTGTCGGTTAGTCGCTATATCCTTTAATGTCTCCAGCCAACCAGTTGTAGAGTCTTTCGGACCCCAACCTGGAAGACGAGAGAACCGATTCTACCAAATGGCTCTGTGCATTTCTTCATGCCTCGCTTCCACGTCATCTGTT